AAGGAAATTATTGACAGCAAAATGAGGAAAATCAATCTTAGGGAAATTAATTGAAAAAGCCAAAGTGTCAAGTCGATTTGAAACATAACATAAAACTGAAGTATTTACATTTGGTCTTTGATCTAAGCAGGAAATGGACAGTTTCACTCATACGTTTTCTGTAAGAGGTAAATGACCCAGAGGAGAATTGATCATTTTAATGATTAATTATTGAACTTGAGCTACATGAATGTGAATAACGAATAATCGATCGTCTCTTAACTGTGCTCATCACTGCACCTCTGTGCTGCTTAGGTAAAGCTTAGGTAAAAAAAAATAAACACACTGCTGCTGTTTTTGTGTTACAGATTCCTGTCGGTTGAGTCATGGTGCATTTGAGTGTGAAAAGGTGCTGCAGGTGTGTGTGTGAGTGTGTGTGTGTGTGTGTGTGTGAGTAGGTTGCAGCAGACGTTCTCGGTTGGAGCAATACAAAATACACTGAACATTTTCCTTTGCAGTGCATCGCCTGCAGTGTGTCACTGAATACACACACTCATAAATAAACACATTAAATATTACACACATGCACCTACAGATGTGTAGGCGGGCGCACACATGCAAACAGCTATACGTACACATACTTATGCAACCAAATAGCCTGCGTTGGCAAGAATACACAAGTATGATCATTGCCAAACATACAAATGCACACAAACATACACACACACACTCTTATCTTAAAGCAGAAATTAAAGGCACACACACACTCCCACACCTGCAGCCTCTTGTCGCTGGCGATGCTCGTGCAGAACAAACGTCAACTCCATCAGCCAGTGCTGTCACCCACAGTGACAACATCAGGCTAACACTCTAGAATAAAGCCTGCATACATTAAACCTGGAAACAGTGGCTCCAACCACAGGCTGATTATCTTTCCACCCACCGCTCTCACATCTGATCGCTCTGATTCTCATAATAACACGCTCTGTCTCATCAATCAAACACAGAAAGGATACGCTGCTGTGCACCTGACACACAACCAGAACGCTGTCAGAAATACACATTCAAAGGTATCACCGGTCAGAACAATGGTGGTTTCAAGTCTTTGCTGAAAGACACACACCATCATTCATTGGTGACTGAATATATGCTGAGCCTCAACAGCTTACAAATTTTTTTCCCAATGCCGTCCTTAAGTAACCATTCTTCTCAGCAGTCTCAGCTGTGGCGGTTTTCATAAAGTAGGTGCCTGTGAACGCCTGCTGTCTGAAAACTGAATTAGCTAGGCCCTCGATGTGGTTTAGTGTGGGGATGACGCCTGAGAGGCTATTTGCTAAAGAGTGACTTAAGTACACATAATACACATAATCACAGTAAATAACGTCCCACTCCAGCATTTATACAGCACTTAAAGACACATGCAGTGATGGACACAAACTCCGCGCCTCATGGAGGGAGGAAAAGAGAAGAAAATAAACTCTGGCTTTTGTACCTGAACCTCACCAACCGGCCCAGTTGCCAGATTAAAATGGTGGCATCTTACATTTCTGCAATCTATGGATAAGTTACATTTGCGCGTTTCATACGTACATTTCATATACACTTAAGGAAGACGGTTGCCAAGCAGCAGACATCAGCAGACCACTGTTTGAGAGCAACAAAAGTGAGTATTTTTTAACAACAGGCCAGGACATTTCTAGCCATATTTGTAGCAACCAAACAGGTATCTTTGACTAAACTTTGGGACGTTGCCAGACGTGTCTGTGGTGACCAAACTGGATATTTTTTACTGGGATGTCAGGATATTTCCAGATGTGTTTGAAGTGGCAAAAGTGGGTGTTTACAACAGAGGCAGGTCATTTTAAGGAGACCTTGGAACATTTCCAGCCGTGGCTGTAATTACCAAACCAGGTATTTTTGAACAAGATGTTGGGATATTTACAGACATGTTTGAAGAAACAAAAGTGGGTGTTTACGACAAAAGCGGGTATTATCTAATGGCGTGCCAGGATATTTCCAGCCGCGGTTGTGGCAACCAAACAAGGGTTTTTTTTTTTTTTTCAGAAGTGCTTATTGTAACAAAAGTGGGTATTGTTTAACAACAGACCAGGACATGAGATGTTCTTTTTTAGCACATGTCTCTTTAAGCCCCCCTCAGGAAAAAAACTCTTATTTTTTTTATTTTTTTTTTTTAGTATAGCGACACTTACTACTGTGTAAAAAAAATAGCCAATGAATTAAACCAGAGTCTTCACAACCAGACATGTTCCAGCAGGAATATAATCAGAGATTGGGGAGAATTTATCAACATCTGCAGAAAAAAAAAATACGTTTCCCTGGTGTTAGCATGTAGCTACATGTAGCAGTGTAGGCTACATCATGTAAATGCAGTAGTGTACCTGGAGCAGATGACCATATAGAGAAAGCTGACGTTAGCTTTTCTCACAAGTAGAAAGAACCAGTATTTAATATTCAGAGTATTTAGAAAGTCTGAGGGTTTTGCTCACAGGCATTACTTTAACATACATTTTTTGAAACTTTGGCCACATTAACACATTAATCTAACACTGTAACATATATTACAGATGAAAAGGAAAAGCATAATAGGTCCTGTTAAAGACTTCTGAATGTTTACTGTTGAATGTTCAGACACCCTGATGTGTTGGTGCCATGCCATTGCCCAGAATTCTGAATCCCCATTAGTCCCAAAAATGTCAGAAGCTAGAGCTGGCCTTTCCTCTAACAGTCCCTTATCCCAAAATCAAACGGCCACGCTCCAAAGTCATTGAAAATACATACTCCCGGCAGTTAGTTCCAGTTTCCCAACAGCATTTGAGCCACTGAATCTGGGTGTTTTTCACTGACATATGGCATCTTTTATGCCACCAAAACAAACATTCCTCACCATTTGTGCCTAAACCTTACCACACATTCACCACAGCATTGCTGACCACTGTAATGTATCCACAGTTTGAAGAAACATAATTAAAACTTTTTTCTAGCAATTGCATTGTCTAACTGAAAGGTGTCTGTATTGAAGAAACTGACTTTGGAGCAACGATATTTATTTTTCACAAAACAGTCTTTTGGACAAATCAGCTCTTTGTCCAGTGGGCCATTTTTCGGACAATTGGGGCTTTGGAATATTGGGCCATCGGCAACTGGTTGTCCCCAAAATGTTTCCATATAATTAGCACTAAGAACCATGACAAAAATTAACCACACATGAATAAAAGTTTCCCTGTAACTGCTACAAAAAATTGACACAATTGTAACATTGTCTTTCCTACTCTGCATTCAGCATTTGAAGTCAAAGTCCTTGATATAGCACATACAGCATAAAAATCTGCAAAGTTTCAATGGATGTAGGCCACAGGTTGGACACTGAGATCAGGCCTTCAGTCTTGAGTGGTTTGATTCAGCAACAGTATCCCTGCAACACACTTCATTCATCTGGGCTCAGCAGCAGCTAACCAAGCAGACTCTATGAAGGAAACACGAGCTGATGAAAGACTCGTTAACAATCCGGCTGCTGTTTCAAACTCAACCAAACAATTAATAAACATTTCAACTGCAAATTGGACCACATGGGACGTTTTAGGATGTGAGCACTTTTCATCTGATGAATAATTTATCATGTGAATGAATCAACTTCCCGCCTGGTTTCTGTACGTGTGTGTGTGTGTGACAGCAGTGATCATGTTCACAGTGTACGCTGATGCTCAGCTGTTAACACCAGGCTAACTGTAGCATGACTGGCGTTTATCAGGCTGATGCAAACAGGCTGCTGTGTGTATGTCCGTGTGTGTGTGTGTGTGTGTGTGTGTGTGCGTGTGCATGTGCATTTGTTGCCATTTTTCATTGACAGAGTTGGAGAGGAGAATGATGGGTATGTTGGAGGTGGAGGTGGCTGTGGAGGTGTGCTGGAGAGGGTGATGAGGCAACGGAGTGATGGATAAAGAGAGGGATGGAAGGATTATCGGGGTTCAAACCCAGACTGTTGATTTTATGTCAAACCTGACGACTCTCAGCTTCAGGCGCCGGAGTCTTGATGACTTCCAGGTTACGACGCGTGAATGTGTGCGTGCATGAGTGTGTGTATGTGCATTTTCTTATGTGCTTTGCTTGGCTGCTTGGCTGATGGTGCAAATGAGTGATGGTTGCAGGAAAGGACGAATGAGAAATAAGAACATGGAAAATGGAAATGGAAAAGAAAAGAAGTAAGGAAGGTGAGTGATGGAAAAGGTGCCACAAATTATCTGATGGATGGTAATCCAAAAACGACAGTGGAGGAGGTGGGTAGGAGGGATGCGAGGAGAGTGATCAATGGAGGAAAATGAACAAATAATGAGCAGAGATGCAGAGAGGTAGAAGAGACACAAAAATGAGGTGAAAGGGGAGGGAAAGACAGAGGGAATAATGGGTAAAAAGCAGCAGAGGAGAGCAGGAAAAGAGCAACCCCCCACCCCCCTCCCTGTAGTCCACGTACACACTCACACACACTATCATACACACTCACCCATCTGCTTCTGCTCTCCGTGGGCGAGCCAGCGAACGGCAGTCTTAGCCCCGGCACAGTTACGGCAGAGCTGGCTGAAGGCTGGAGAAGAGCGAGGCAGGAAAAGGAGAGAGAGGAGAGGGGGAGAGCAGAGTGGTAGTCCCTCAACCAAGTGGCGAGTGTGTGAGTGAGCAAGCAAGACGTCTGCACCGGAGGAGGAAAGAGAGGGTGAGAGGAGGAAAAAAAAAGGAGGTGCAACAGACAAAAACACCAGCAAGCAACTCCTCGTGATCAAAACCCCAGCTTTACTCCAGATCCACCTGAGAGACCAATCCTCAGCTGTTGATGGTTAAACACACAAACACACACTAGTACACACTGCTCGTGCACGCTCCCTCACTGAGTGCTGTCGCAATGACACCGTCGGCTATGAGTCTCCCCAGCCCGGCAGTGCAAGGGGAGAAATGAACACACGGACCTCCAACACCTTCTCTTCCTCCTCCTTCCTTTTCTTGTGTTTTACCTCCTGCTGCTGTTTGTCCTCTTTATCCAAGGGGTCAGTAACACAAAGACACAGAGAGACAGAGATAAAGGAAGAACTGCTCTTTTTCTTCTTTTTATTCCTGTTTTATTATCCTCCTCTCTGCTGTGAAGTCTCCCCTCTCTCGGTGTCCTTCAGTGTCGGACTGGCTGCTGCTCCACAGCGCAGAGAGGCTGGACTGCATTCAGCTCACTCTCTCTTTCTCTCTCTCTCTCTCTCTCTCTCTCTCTCTCNCCCCCCCCCCCCCCCCCCCCCCCCCCCCCCCCCCCCCCCCCCCCCCCCCCCCCCCCCCCCCCCCCCCCCCGTCTTTCCTCTATCTCAGCAGCTGAATGTACCTCCACACCTCTTCAGCTCCCTCCTTTAATTCAGTCTCTTGTCTCTCTTTCTGTCATTCTGTAAACACGGTCCCATCCACCTGTTTTTATGCACAATTTATGCTTAAACAAGACCAAAGTGCAACACACACCAGCTGCATCACGTCATTTCACAAGCATCAGTCACCGCCTGCAGAGTGCACACCGCACATGTCATACAGACAGAAGAAGTAGTCAGGGTACAGAAGTCGAACCAGAGGAGATAAAATAGCGTCTTTTCCGTAGAGTCGACACGCGATGATGCCAGGAGGACTGATAACTGGTGGCCAGGGTTATGGAAGAAAGACTCATTTTCTCATTTACAACAGAGCTGCAAAGTGGGAAAAGCCACTGGTTTAAATTTGTCAATATTTTTAAGAAAAGCAAGTAAGACAAATTTGAGTGCAACACCATCAGGAGCAGGATGGCTTATGCCTGTGTCACCATCCAGAGAGGCTCCATTCATTTAGTTATATTCACTCAGATTTTGAGCATTGTTTTTGATTGGGTCTCTTGTTTAAACTTTTACTGCCTGTTTTCTGCCAATCAAATAAATGTACATCAATATAAGTAACTGGAGTCTGCCATGCCTGCAAGGACAAGAATGCATTTCAGCGCTGAAAATTCAACAATAGTCTTCTGACATCAAAAAAAGGGCTCTAACATTATTGTAAAGTAGGACTGTACCCAACTCAGCATTACGATACGATACAATATACTTTATTGTCCCACTAATTATGTCAGTTGAATCATGTAAAGTTTTAAGTTTGAATGGGCTCTGCAGGGTGTTCAGTGTGACAGCGGCATTCACATCATATTGTAAACAAGCTGACTGCAATACAAACGAATCAGAATTGTGCGACAGTATTTGTTGCCGACACTGGATATCAAACAAAAGCCAGAGACTGTGACATATTAAGTTGCTGTGAGATGGAAATGCATTACTTTTATGCAGAAGAGAGAAGATAATGTTATCTCAGGGCCATACTGTGCGGGGTCTCCCCTCCTCTGTGCCGCTGTATTGTGTCTGCAGCTATCTGTACCAAGGAATAGCATGAAAGTTAGGAGCGCTCACTCTGTAGCAAAGTCTGGGGACCAATACAGAGGTACACTGCATAGCACAATGGCTAGCATGAAAAAGGCTGCTCAACTTAAAGCAATCTCAGTCAACTGAAGGGTCTCTGATGATTCGAATCTGCGATCATCAGGGGGGCAGCCCTACTGCACAGTGTCAAGCTTGTTTACCAGCTGTGAAAGTGCTATAAACATTGAAATGCTCAATGTCAAACCTGAGGAAACATCTCCAGGTAAGTTGATGTAACTTCAATCAGTAAGAAAAGTAATCAAAAAGCAATGCAATAAGTTACATTTGTTTGATGAGGTAATTAAAATAGTTACATTTTCATTAGCGAAACTAGTAATCTGTAGTCTATCACATCTCAAAATTAACCTTTCCAACACTGTCAATACCGATAAGCCTTAGCTGCCATCGCTATGAAGAAGTAGCCAGTCAGAGGTGAATTTAAAAAGCTTTATGGATGCAGCTTGAGCAAAATGACATCTATGGGTTGTGAAATCTGTTTTATTGACACTGTTGGCAGCGAAAGTCACAGAATTTTAAGATGGGTGTTTGGATGTCTCCTGCAAAGCTGCATGTTAGTGGTCATAGTTGTAGTTTCAATTGTTAATCTTTTGGATTTAGCATTCAGGGTGATTAACGGAGTTAGGAAATGTTTGGTTATCTATTAAAGATAGAGATGAGATAGATAGATGGCAACAGCCAAACTCAAGGCTTTAAAATGGGAGTCCACAAACCAAGCGATGATGTCACGGTAGCTACATCTAATATTTTACAGTCTAAGCTTGAGGACCAGCAAAAATGTCTTCACTTTGCAAAAATGTCCTCAGTCTGTTGCTAAAAGTACATTGGTCCTCATTATGTATGGAGAACAAGTGTACACACACAAAAATCCCCAAATGTTTTTACAGTCCATGGTCAGCAGACAAACACACACCTGTAACTCCATGCCAATAAACAGATAAATGTACCACCACCAACCTCAATGCATCAAAATCTTACATTTAATGACAGTTTACACTGCATGTCCCTCCTCTTCTATGTAATCAGTTAATGTATTTTTGATGGGGTTTTTTCTGGATTTATTGACAAAGAAGCAAATATTATATACGGGAAAAAAAAGTGTAATTTTTTTTTTTGTCATAATGAAGACGTCCTCTGTGACTCAACTATGCTGCAAAGTTTCTTTAGTTTAATTTGATTATTTCACTGTAAATTACATTTTAACGTGTAAATTCAAATGCGCACACAGAACAAGTGGACACACTCTCTCTCTGTTGGTGTCTCTTGCTCACTATACTGTACTGGTGTATGTATTTGTGTGCAGACACAAACACTCACAGGTAAATTCATGTATTATGAAACAAAGATAACATATCAGACACACAACACTACAGATACAGTCTCTGTTCAAAACACACAGAAAAACTGCTTCAAGTATTCCCAAATGACATGAACCATCCAGTTCAATCACACACACACACACACACACACACACACACACACAAAAGCATAAAAATGCACATACTTCATCTTAAGTCCACAGTGTGTTCTGTAAAGGTAAACAGTCCAGTACTGACAGAGGAAGAGCTTCAGGGAGAAATCCGTCACCAGGGAGTCTTTGTGCGTGCGTGTGTGTGTGTGTGTGTGTGTGTGTGTGTGTGTGTGTGTATGTGTGCGTGTGTGTGTGTGTGTGTGTGTATACGTATGTATGAGTCACTGCATAAAATCTCCATCTTAATTCCCTTACTCTATTTCTGAGAACCAAAATCTCATTTTCTTTAAGATGCATTTTTTTCCTTTGCAACCAGAACTTCCAGATTCTCTTCCAGAAAAATGAAAACTTTATTCAGAGTCTCTCCGACATTTGTAATGACACAAATAACCAAAAATCCAACCTAGCCTTGCTCACTAGTAGCCTATGTAATGTGTTTCACTCCAGGTGTCCAAACAGGGATGGCAGATTTGGAAAAAATATCATTTGTAATTCAATATTCCTATTGCTGGCAGGCCTTAACAAACATCATTTCCCTCAAGCTTAAGACTACCATGGGCTAAAGTTAGAACATGCTTTTGTATTTGGTACTGATTTTGTGTATAACACTGCAGGCTGTTCTCATGCATGTAACTTAACGTTAATTACATAACTTACATAATGTCATTTGTGGGGCCCGAATTCATAGGATAGGATAGGATAGGATAGGATAGGATAGGACATAGGAGAACCGTTGTGTGTGAATTTGCCAGGGGCGAATGCTCTGAGACAACAAGGGAGGCTGAACTTCCCCTAAAATTTCATAGAAGAAATGGTCAAATATGCACTATTGAATTTACATTAAAATAAGAATTTACATTGCATTAAACGTGCACTAGGATGCATTTAACGTCATGATGTTCAAAAATTAGCTGTTTATCACCAGTTTTCAAACGTGACCTCCCTGTCATACATTCTCATGTCAGCACGTTGGACGCAGAGCCTCCAAATAGTGATGGCCAAATGAAGCCTCATGAAGCATTTTCTTTATTTTATGAGCCCACTAGATGGCACTTTTTGTTCAACAAAAGGTTGAAAGCACACTGAATTGCCATTCTTTGAGCCTCTCTCTACAAACCAAGAGCGCCATCTAGTGGGTTCACAAAATAAAGATAATGCTTCATGAGGTTTCATTTGGCCATCACTACCTCCAAGCATTCTTATGAGACAGCACTGAGCAGGTTTTTTTCATGCAGCAAAGTGAGACGGTCATAGGATAAATGCTACAAAATTGTCACTTCCAGGGAGGCTCAGCTTCCCTGGGACCTAATGGAGCGGTGGGAGGGAGAAGACGCTTGGTGTATGCATGATGATTGGAGGAACTGTCTAAGAGGCTGAACCCCTTTGTGACTGACAGCACTTCACATCTCGAGCTCAATCCCATGCAGATATTTGCGAGTGGAGTCTTCTGACAGAGTGCCATCTGGAGTTCCTTATTTCCATAAGCGATATAGCACCGTTTGTACAGCACACACACAACACACACTGTAAATAAAGACATAAACTTTGCGTTATTGAGTTTGTACCCTGTTTAGTGTCGTTAGTTAGTTCGCTTGTGCATTGAATCACAAAGCTGTAGTTGTGTTGTGCGTGTGCAGATTGTATGACAGGGTCACAGACCATTTTCTGCAAAAGGAGCGGAGGACAGAATTCATATATAAATAAATGTGTCTTTCAGTAATATTTGAGAATATTCAGAGAATGTTGCTAGCGCTGTTTGTTACCTGGGCCAGTGTTAAGGTGCTGCTCCTTTCAGGGAAACTTATTTTGAGAGAAAATCAGTTCTAGTGGTGTAGACACAGTTCAGGTGTTTAAACCCATATGAAAATCTTTGAGGTGTGTTTTGCTGTGGTTCTATGGCATGGTTGAAAAACAGCTTCAATTAAATGTTCCTTTTATAAGTTACTGCCTCGCTACAATATGACAAATTTTATGATGTAAACTTAAAGTGAGCTTCCCCTGTTTGAAAGACCAGCAGCTGCCACTGGAATTTGCGTAGGATAACATACAAACCATTATATCAGGAAACGTTGAACAACGATGTGTTCAGTTTTTCTAACTCACCTCCCGAAAGAAGACTGAATTGACCAGCAGCTTGTTTGGCTCTTTATTATAACCATTTTTAAGATGCTCTTGCTAACGTGGTAGCAAAATGTTAGCTGCTATTGGTATCCACACACTATTGCAG